GGGGAAGAGTAGGATGGCGGTGGAGCGGGATTGGGGTGGGTCGAGGTATGGGCAAGTGGTAGGGGTAGGGGTGGGGTCAGGGTCGGGGTCGGGTAGGTGTAGGGTTAGATGACGATAGGGTGGGGTCGGGATCGGGCCGAGGTAGGGCTAGGGTCGGGTGGGTCGGGTGGGGGTTAGGATAATGTAGGGGTAAAGGGTAAGGACGTAAGGTACGAGGATGGAGATAGTGGGTAGGGTGGGGTCAGGGTCAAGGTAGTAGGGTCGGGCGGGGTTGTGGTAGTGGGGTAACAATAGGGTAAGAGCAAGGGGTAAATTCAAAAACTGAAAAGAGTTGATGACTCAAATAGGACTAATATCAAACTTAATTGCACATATAAGACTATAAATGAAACACAACTTTCATAGGACCAATTTCAACTTAGTTGGACAAAAATAACCCTACTTTAATTTTTTTAAATTTTAAAAATGAAAAAACAAAAAACTGAAACCCTAAATTGTCAACTGTTAGCAGCAGCATGCCGCCGATTACTGCTAGCAGAGCCAGAGTCGCTACCCTCGCCGGAGCCGCCCCTGCCGCCGACTACTGCTACCCTCGCCGGAGCTGCCCCTGCCGCCGACTACTGCTACCCTTGCCGGAGCTGCCCCCACTGCCTACTGCCGCTTCTCTCGCCGACGCCGACGACTGCCGCTGCTGCCGGCCATCGTCCTCGCGGAACCCGCCGCATCCCTATTGTTGCATCGTTGTCGTCCGTCGCCGCCAAAACGGCATCGCCATCCGCCGCCGCCATCCTATCCTCGTCATTGGCAACAGCTTTCAATCCAAGACCACCACTTTGAGATCTTCCATAAATTTGCCATTAAGTTGGCAGCTTTGGCCTTGAAGAGTACTTACAAATCTGCCTGGAAAACAAATTTTCGGTAAAACTGTCAAATAGGTCCTCCTACTATTGTCAAAATGTCAATTGGGTCCTCGTACTTATCTCTCAATCAATTAAGTCCACCAACTATTAAAAAACACTCAAATAGGCCATTTAACCGGTTGGCATCCGGTTGAAGGTCAAATGCACAGACATGACAGTCCATTTGGATTTTTTGTTTTTCCCTTTTTTCACTTTGTTTTCCTTTCTCCTTCTCTCTCCTTCTTTCTTCTCCTCTCACACTTCTTCTTCCCTGCTTTTACCTGCGTGCTTTTCTGCATTTTTTCCTTTTCTTCTTTCCTTATTTCTTTCATTCTCTCTTTCTTTCTTATTCTACATAGTAATTCTTTCCACAAAACGCATCAACCTTCGCCGCCCATCTCTTCCTCATTGGTCGCTAACCACCAACCGTCGCCGCCGCCGCGCCGCAGCTCGTCTAAACGCCGGTCGCCCACAAAGCCACAACTTGTCTAATCGCCAATCTCTTTGACTTCTCCAACCGCCATCGGGGATCGCTCATCGCCCACGACTTCTTAAATTTGCCGCGTATCGCCGGTAGCCAGCAAATCATCTATCACCGAGTAGCCGCCGCTCGCCGCCCGTCAACTACACTTCTCAACCGCCGTCAGCCGCCTCCCGTAGCCCCACAACCAAAGCTTACCTAGCTGACTCCGCATGCCGCCCACCTTCCATGTCTTCCTCAACCTCCGCCCGCCATCCGCCGGCGCTCGCTGCCCATCCAAAAAATGAGAACCGGGAAGAATGGAAGAAGTGAAGAAGATTGGAAAAGAAAGAAATTGGACGAGGAGAAAGACAGTGTAGAGACAAGAGGAATAAAGAAAAAAAATTAGAAGATCGTCGCTGCAAGTAGGCGGAAGAAGAAGTCAGCAAAGAAAGGAGAGGAAAAAAAAGAGAAAAAGAAAAAAGACGAAACGAGCTAAAGAAAAAGTCAGAATTATTGTCACATTTGCTTCCACATCAGCTACTAACCGGTAAAATATATATCCAACCGGCTAAACAGCAAAATTGGCTGTTTTTTAAGAGTTGGTGGACTTAATTGACCGATCTATAAGTATGAGGACTTAATTGACTTTTTGACAATAGTACAAGGACCTATTTGACAGTTTTCTCCATATTTTCAGATCTTCCATAAATTTGGCAGATTTATCTTAACCGGTTTGCACAAAAATGCCATAATCTTGGCAAAATATGAAGTCCACAACTAAATTTTCAAAAAATCAAAAAATAATAATAATAGAACAATAACTTTAATAGAAACAAGAATTTAATGACGAAAAATAAAAAAAATGATTTACACAAAAAGTGTTTTGTCATAATATGATTGTCAAAGTACATTTCTGCCATAAATTTGGCAAAATTGTTTATCATCATCCAACCATAAACTTGGCAAAATACTACTATGTATGTCATAGTCCAGAAATCTGGAAAATTGATTTTCTTTTTAAATCAAGATATCAGAAGCGGAAATTTGAAATATAAATCTAAAAATCAACAAATCGAATGTAAAACCTAAAAAATATATAGAGAGGGATGGATCTGTTATGCAATGGAGTAGAAATGAAATGAAAGGAACGAGTAATGGTGCGCAGGAGATAGAGGGATATGGTCTGGGCAGAAGAAGTTATCGATTTGTTAAAGAAGGGGTAAAAGTGGAATGAGAAATTACGCAAGTTTCAAAATATGAGTAATATGATCCTATTTGGAGGATAAAATAAGTACGATCCTATTTAAGAATTTCTCCCCTCTTTTAGTCTTATTTGGGGCAATTATTAAACTGAAAAAGTTTAAAATGTCGCTTAATTAATACATGAGAGGTGATATGCTTAGTAAGCGGCACTTTAAGCACCTCTTTCGGTTAGTAAGCGTTTTTTTAAGCAGCGTGCATGTTTACTTCACCTGTTTTACTAACCTAACTGTGACTTTAACAGCGAAGTAAACACCTCCTTACTAAATTATCTAGGAGTATGTTTGGCACAACTAGCTGAAAAGATACTTTTGTGAGCTTTTTAGTAACTGTTAGCTTTTAGTGACTGAAAAGATCTTAAAAAGAAAAGGTGGTAGCTGTTTGGTAAAAAGCTGACTGTTTGATTTAGTTCGGTTTGGTATACGAGCTGTTAGGACTAATTAATACTAAAAGTCACGAGCTTTTCTCAGATGCTACACCCGGTAGCATGTCAAAAAAGATCTTTTAATTTTTGAAAAGCTCTTAAAAAATGTCATGTCAAACATACAACTAGAGTCTTTTAAGGTCTTTTTAAAGAAAAGAAAAGCTAGAAGGCAGAGGCTTTTGTGTGCCAAACATGTCCTAGGTCAGATTGGGTGGGTGTTAGTGTGTTACAAGACTGCTCATTCTAATTCTAGGGTTGAGCGATCCCCATCATCTCTAGGGCACGTCGTTCACATGATCTTGGGGACGCTCGCTCACTTCATCGACTCTACATTTGAAGGGCTGAGGCTCAACTCTCAGAGTTCCATTCAGCCCACCAGTAGTCCTTGGGCCTGTAATGTCAGTTTCTCATTGGCGTGATTGTGTCACTTTATCTCTTGAGATTATAGGTGATGCAATGGAATATGGCTTTTGGTGGTAGTGGGCTAACCCAATTACTCGGTCAGTCCATTATCCCAACATTCATTTTTTCCACAAATAGAAATACGGTTCTCAAGTGATACTATGATATTTTGACATGATATTAATGTGACAATACAAATCATAAGATTAATTGAGTTTGTACCATGATAGTAAAATACTTGTATTTGAGGAAAATGTAACACTTTTATTTCGAAATCCTTACTCTCGTGCAATGCAATTTCTACAAGTAAGAAAGTATTTGAATTTTGAACCATATCCGTTCATAACCATGATGACAATACCGTTTGTATTATATACAGGGCCGGCTCTATAGATTAGGAGACCCGGTGCAAATCACGTAAAATAGGTCTTATATTAAATAAATATAATATAAAAAACAGCCTTTAAAAAGTAACCCCAAAAAGACTACAATCAAATGTGAAAATGAGATATAATCATATTTTGAACATGAACAACCAAAATTTGGTAAAAAAAACTAAAACAAAAAATAAATGAATTAAAATCATGAACTAAAAAATATAGAGTCGGATATTACTGAAAAAACTACTCCCTCCGTCCTTAAAACCAAGCCTATCCAAACTGTACGAGGAATTTGTGCTAATTACTATAACTAAGCCTTATCCAGGCCTTATGTAATAAAGAAGTTGCACATTTATAATTAGCAATTGCATCCTAATTACATATAAATATTAGTATTTAATGTTTGTATTTAAAAGCAAAATAGTAAAATAGGAATCTTTAATCAAATAAAAAAGAATTTTGTATATTATGTAGACTATATTTAAAATTTTGTGCCTTCTATATCGAGGGGTCTTGTGCGGTAGCACTTCTTGCACGCCCTCATCTACGATCCTGATTATATATATTAAAGGGAAAATTCCCGAAATAGGACAAAAAAAGTTTGAAAATTCCAAAATAAGACTGTCATGTTTTTATTCCAAAAATAGGACTAAATATTGCCAAATTTGGAAAATACTGCCATGTTTGAAGTCTGGTACTGCCAAAACATGACAGTAATTAGTTCTATTTTGGGAATAAGAACATGAAAGTCCTATTTTGAAATTTTCAAACTTTTTAAGTCCTATTTCACGTAATTTCTCTATATTAAATTGTATAATTAAACGTATCTTATTCAATCATTAAGTATCTGCTGCTATTTTCAAAACTAAAACATTTTAATATTATTTTTAAATAACAATATTCTACCTTAGTTTAGGAAAATACGGACTGAAATTTTCCTAATCTAATAAATTGATTTCGAGGTCGGTACGCATATGCGCGTTATCCGCTTACTGCTGGAACCTTCACGCGGAAATGATCCCCACCGTCGGCCTCGCTCGACGCCAAGCAAATCTGGGCCGTCACACCCTCCAACACCCTCAGCTCTGCCGCGTGTCACATCTCCACGTGGCATCATTGTATCGGTCCATTTATCCCATTATGGTCGCACTCAACTCCCACCTGAATATTCTAAAAAGTCTATAAATAACCGCTCTCTGCTTCATCTTCCTCATCAAATTGTTCAAAGCTTGATTTAATTAGAACACTCTAAACCCCAAAATCACAGATTTTTTCGTTTTGAATTGCATTTTTAGACTACATTTATCTCGTCTTCTTCGTAAAAATTTCTTAATTTTATACATTTGAGGGGATATTTCATATTTGACATATGGCGATGAGTTTATCGCACCAAATCGCTGCAATTTCTGGAACTCCGTTATCAGTTGAGAGTGGAACCGCTTCTGGAGAGGGACCAGCGAAGGCGTCGGTGGTTACGTCGGCCTTTTGGCAGACTCCGGCTACTAATCTCCGATGCGCGGTGAGGAAATCGGGAGCTGAGGTGGACCGGATGTCACCGTCTCCTCCGCGTAGCCCGATGAGGGGCGGGATGCGACAGGATCTATCCGCGGCTTGCCAAGCCCTGATGGAGGCGCCGACGGCGGATGCTATGGAGAGGGAGTATAAGATGGGGGTTTTGGGGCGTGAGAAGGGGAAAGGCGTTCCTGTGTTCGTGATGATGCCGTTGGACTCGGTTAGGATGGATCACACGGTGAATCGGAGGAAGGCGATGAATGCTAGTTTCCAGGCGTTGAAGAGCGCCGGAGTTGAAGGGGTGATGATGGACGTCTGGTGGGGGCTTGTGGAGAAAGACTCGCCAGGAGAGTACAACTGGGGAGGCTACGCCGAGATTATGGAAATGGCTAAGAAGCATGGCCTCAAGGTTCAAGCTGTCATGTCCTTCCACCAGTGTGGCGGAAACGTCGGAGATTCTTGCACGTGAGTCCTCTATACTTTCTTCATTCTATTCTCAGATCTAATTTCAATTTTCGGCAATTTATGTTTGATATTGTGTGTATTTGCCTTGTTACGAGCTGTTGTATTAGATTGAGTAGTAGTTTTTCTTTTCTGCCCTAAATTCCGCGAGTTCACTCGGCTTTCGAGATCTGATATTTGCAAGTTGGAAAAGGTGAAGTACAATCCAGCTTTACTTAAGACTCCAGTTTTCCCTTCTTTTTCCCTGAAGTTCCCCCAAAAGTTTGCTCATTGGTTTTGGTAGAATCTCAAGATCACGTAGACAAAAAAAAGTGATGTGTAAAGATCGAAACAGAATAATTTCCCCACTCATCACATGTTTATGGGATTATGGAAAGTGAGTTTTATGTGTAGTACTATGACAGCTTTACTTCTTGATCATGGGATTCAGAGTGACGGTTGTGGTTAATTTTCTATTCTAGCTTAATTGCGAGGTGCACAGTAGTCCAGATTTGGTTTGAGATTCTCAGGAAAGTAAAAACATAGTTTTTGAGGCATATTAGGAATTTTAGGAAAATGAAAATCGATCAGTCGTTTTCTAGTAGTTTGTTTTACATCGACGACAAATACAAAATCTAAAAAGATTCATATATTTAGATTTCATCTTCTTTAAATCACATAGATATAAGTAAAGTATGAACAAATATCCCCGATAAATTATTGAGGTAAACGCCTGTTTTGTTTTCGCACAATATTTTATTTTCCCCTATGCCCCCACTCCTTCCATATATTTCTTCCCTGTCATTATCGGAGTTCAAAAAAGACATTGCTTTTGAGTTTGGTCAATCAAAATTCAAATGGTTATTATTGCTATAATTTGATTTATTCCATAAATTTTGGACACTCCGTTCATAGCTTATTAGTTACTTCATATAATCATCCTATATGTGATATGATTATTAACTGTGTGTACCCATTTCTGCAATTCAGGATACCTCTTCCAAGGTGGGTTACGGAGGAGATGGACAAAGACCCAGACCTCGCATACACAGATCAATGGGGAAGGAGGAACTATGAGTATGTATCACTTGGTTGTGATACCCTTCCAGCTCTTAAAGGAAGAACACCAATTCAGTGTTATTCTGACTTCATGAGATCTTTTAGGGATAAATTTCAGGACATGCTTGGTGACACCATAGCGGTATGTCTCCACATTTGTGTTTACCTTATTAAATTATTGAAGGGATTTGTTTTGTGTAATAACATCTGTGTCCTTAAATGTTTGCTGTACAGGAAATTCAAGTTGGCATGGGTCCTGCTGGAGAGCTCCGTTATCCGTCGTATCCTGAGCAAAATGGGACATGGAGATTCCCTGGAATTGGGGCTTTTCAGTGCTTTGATAAGGTATACTATCAAGTATCAACCATTGTTCCTTTTTTGGGGGTTTCATGTTTTAAAACTTTTTCATATTTACTCTTGGACTTTGTGTTTTGACATTGTGGGTAAATCATCAATATTTTAGGGGGAATATGGAAAGAAAGAAATAGAATTCCTATTTCTTTGTTTTCTTATATCGTGCACGTCACTTTATTCTGTCCATGTCTACTACTGTCTAGACTCAAATCATTCTAGTTAGGCATTAAAATTTTTTCCCTTTGGTCCTTCTAATAGTAGTATTTGGTCGGGATAATCTTGAAATTGGCACGCTTAGAAATTAAAATATAATTTGTTAATAGACAAAAACTTATCTTACTTTAAACTTCTGCCTAACTTCTGTTTTTGCATAATCAAAAGGATTTTAAAAAGGTTACTACCAAATTACCTCTTAGGTGTAGCGTTAAGTACCGATTAATCTCAAGACTCAACGGCCATTTTCCTCTTTATAATGGTTTAAAGAATGCATGTGATGTTGCTTACCGTGTCTGTTTCTATGATATATGTTTGCAGTATATGATAAGCAGCTTGAAAGCCACAGCTGAATCAGTAGGCAAGCCAGAATGGGGACATAATGGCCCAACGGATGCCGGCCACTACAACAACTGGCCAGAAGACACCAACTTTTTCCGTAAAGAGGGTGGTTGGACCACCCCTTACGGCGAATTCTTCCTATCTTGGTACTCGCAGATGCTTCTTGATCACGGTGATCGGATACTTCGGGCGGCCAAATCCATTTTCGACATCAACAGCGTCAAGATATCAGTGAAGGTTGCGGGAATCCACTGGCATTATGGGACTCGGTCTCACGCCCCAGAGCTTACAGCCGGATATTACAACACCCGCTTCCGAGACGGGTACCTGCCGATCGCCCAAATGCTGGCCCGTCACGGTGCAATCTTCAACTTCACATGCATCGAGATGCGGGATCACGAGCAACCCCAGGACGCGCAGTGCGCTCCAGAGAAACTGGTGAGGCAAGTGGCTCTGGCAACCCAAGAGGCGGATGTTCCGCTTGCTGGGGAGAACGCTCTGCCTCGATTCGACGGGTATGCGCACGAGCAGATATTGAGGACTTCGGCATTGAGCGATGATGGGGAAATGTGTGCCTTTACGTACTTGAGGATGAACCCGGAGTTGTTCCAGGCGGATAACTGGAGGAGGTTTGTGGCCTTCGTGAAGAAGATGAAGGAAGGGAAGGGTGCGGATAAGTGCTGGGAGGAAGTGGAACGTGAAGCGGAGCGCTTTGTGCATGTGACTCGGCCGCTGGTGCAAGAAGCCGCCCTGATGCATTAAGAGCCCGGTTGAGCCGGTAGGCTTGTCATTGCCGGCCACTGTCGCTGTTGCTTTACTGAAATGCTCTGTGATGTATAATAATAATATGATTACCACGGGGTATATTATAGTGCAAGCAATGGAAGAGGAATGTCTCTTCCTTTTACGTACTAAGTTTTTATATCAAGGAAACTTTTAGATCCTTATATCATTTGTACCACTAGAATCAAATCTAGCTATTGTATTGTGTTGTTTCAAATTTATACATTATCATCTTCTCTTTTCACCATAGAAGGACAAGATATTTTGTGAAGATACCAGAATTAGACAATCTATAAAGACATTTATGTGATTGTTAACAAATGAGACTGTTCAGTTTACATTCAACAAACCAGATTAAACCATTATAAAATCCTGCTTTAACACACTCAGTTTCGAAATTTGAACTAGACTGATAAAATCAGTTTAAATAAATACTACTCCGTAGTAAATAAAAATAAATAGACTAATAAGGGGTATTTAAACAAATTCAGTTTAATTAGGTGCTGTGACAGTTTTGTGTTTGACTGGGTCGTAATAGGGTAGAATCAAATTTGAATAAGTAATCCCAAGTACTCGTACTACTTTAGGCTGTTTACCGTCTAACCAAACAGCGCGCTCCACACTGTCGTTTAGTGCTATTTTCTCTTCCCAGTCATGGGACGGTTTGTCGTTTCTATAGTTTTAAAACTCGTGGATGCTGCTTTTTGTTGAAAATAAATTGGCGCGTCCTTTTGCGATACTATTCTATAGGAAAAGCGTTCACTCCATTCCCATTACGTGTTTGTCCAACGTTTTCCAATATGTTAAAAGAAAGTTGGTTTTTGACATACTGCGTATCTATATTTTCAGATTCATGAATCTTAATCAATCATCTATGCATATCAGAATTGGCAAATGAATTATTAACAAGGGCGGAGCCAGCACACTGGGTCGATACAAAGAAAATTTTTGAAAATTTTTTTGCCCGGAATTTTTTACACAAAAAATAAAGGTATTTTTTAAATTTTGACTGGACCAGGGCCAAGGTTGGCCCACCCATGTCTCCCCCTTGCAAAAGAATCAGATCTGTAGAGGTCATCATACAAACAGTTGTCGATCATCTTCCTAGTGTGGAATTTTTGTTTCTAAAAAGGGTCGAGTGAGCGGAGCTGAACAAGTAGATAAGGAGTGTCACAATCGGTGAGTCTCGAACCGTAAATTTTACGGTACAACCGGCTGTACCATGTGTTTGGTACAACCGGATATTTTTGTAATTGATTCCAAATTAAAAGTTGATTATATCATCATCGGTTTATTGTTTTCCTTCGCTGAAGACCAGTTGCAGACGGCGGGAGGAAGACGGCCACTTTTCGATGGTCACAAGCTCCCTCCAGGTCTTGAGCTGGGAAGGGAGAACTACAGTCACAAAGGATCGAATTTCGACAGTCACCTAGATCTGGACCCATCATCTTTTTGTTTATGTTTCAATTAAAGAAATATACTCCCGGTTGCTGCACCTTTTACTTGGATACTTGATACTTGAATTGCTCGTTGCTGGCTGCATCTAAATTTATACATGGTTTCAATAAAATTGTTATACTCCATATGAATTTGGGTTTCGCTTTCCCCCTTTCAACTCTTCTCCACACCTAAATCCATGCAATAAGCATTATTAGTAGCACTGGCGGACCCACTAAGGGTCTCATGGGCTCCCGGGACCCGTGTACCTTCAAAAAAATTATTATATATATTATATAGATTTTATATAAAATTTAATAACATCTGTATAAATACAGTAAAAGCTTGTAGGAATGCTACAGAGTGGAGTAGACGGATGGTTGCAGTGGGGAACATCAGCCTCCCTGTGTGTGGAGTTTCGGGGTTCAATTCCCCAGTTGTTGCATTTTTGTTTTATAAATGTCTTTTTGTAAAAGATCAAACTTTAAAGTTTGCATAATTTAAATTTTTGGATTACTTATTAAAATTTGTTTGACTTTTAAGATTAATTATTAAATATATGATATTTATGAATAGTTTTTTCCCGATATTTTACGATTTAGGATGAAAAAATATTTCGATATTGTATCCGGATTTAAAGAAATTTGGAGCACCGAGAGTAAATCGGACGCTAATTCAAATGATTCACCATTATTAAATGAAAAAATAGATCAAATAATTGTTAAATATTAAATTAAGATGACTAATTGTCTACAAGACCAACATGTTGAAACCTAAGAAGGTACTTTTGTAGAATTGTAGAATGAAATATATACTTCATATGTAATTTTGTGTGTTATGACTATCTTAATATTTTGATAATGTACGTTAACTATGAAACATTATGCTACTTTAGACCCTATTTGGTAATACGTGAATAAGCTGTATTGATTGATTTTACTTACATTTATAAAATTACGGTTAAAGTGACTGTATTGATTGATTCTACTTATTTATGAAAAATATTTAAAATATATTTTATTAATAAAATAAAGGAAAAATCATAGTATCGCCAATACAGCCAATACAACTGAAATATACTATGAAGCGATTGGATTGGCTAAAGTATGAAAGATAGCTCAAATGATTTTATACAGTAACTTCAGTCAATACAGTCGGAAAAGTAACTTTAAACTTACGTTTTCTTATTATTACACCATTCGATGCGCGAAATCAAAAGTTACGTGTTTGATATATAAATTGGTTGATAAACCTAATAGGTCGGGAAAAAAATCGCCTAAAGGGCTCTTATTAATTAGAGTAACATTAGAGTAGGGACCCCGTGATCTTGATTTTCTGGGTCCGCCACTGTATATAATATTTTCATAAAATTTTCATACTTTAATTAGATTTGCCCCACTTAACTCTTAGTTTCAAAATTAATACGGAGTATACAATCTTACATAATGTAATACTTAATTGGAGATTTAAAATAAGGAACATCTAAAATAATTTACGAGCTCATTTGGTAGCATGAAAATCGGCTGTTTTGGCTGATCCAGCTGAAATTTATGAAATTCTGGCTGAAGTGGTTGCATTAGCTGATTCTGCTGATTTAAGAAAAAACTATTTTTAAAATATATTTTATTAATAAAATAAAATATAGCCAATATAGCCAGAAAAGTAACTCCAACCTTACTTTTTCTGCTTATTACACAATTCAGTGTGCGAAAGCAAAAGTTACATGTTTGGTGAAAAAGTTGGATGATAAGCCTGATAAGCCGCAAATCAGTGTTGCCAAACGGCCTCTACGTAACTTAAGCAAATCAACAATAGAATAACTCATTGTTTAATTATTTTTATTAGATAACTAGTATTCGATTTTGTGAAATATACATCAAACGACATTAAATACCAAACACACCAGTTACACATTTTTTAGATAGTGTGAGGTGAATCCAAAAAATGAATCCAAAAAATGAATGTTTATTGACATTAAATTACATAATTGATTTACTTCTTAATTTCTAAAAACATTTTATTACATAGATAATAAACTTTAACTTATTTTAGCATTAATACAAATATAATGTGCACCATATATATATATATATATATGAATTAGCAATATAATATTAATCTAAAAATAATAATCTTATACGGAGTATATAATATTGTAATATTAAGAAAACTCATCTTGACCCACAAACACCCTCCTTGGTAGACAAAATTTTCAATTCAAAAGCCAATTCTTTATTCCGATAAGATTAATGTGCACCTAAAACATATCTAAAAAGTATTGATGAATGTGTACCTATTAAACTCTTTATATTCACAATAAAAAAAACTCTTTATCTTCAAATCGGATAAAATGTTATATATCTTTTTTATTTTCAAATTATTTTTCTTTGATTGCCCTATTGTACGTTTTAATGTATCAACACTTGTTTCTAGAGCACTTCAATTATAACCGCAAAGCCTTACACCAGCAAAAAAAATTAGCCCCGCTGCACTACCGGAAAAATTCGCCCTGACAGACCAGTGAAAAATTTTCGCCCTCTTACATTATTAAAAATTTTCGCCCCCTTACTCAAAATCCTGGATTGTTTACATCTTCCCGATTAACCATTCAGTGTTGAAGGCCTCTTAGGGATTGTTTGCAATCACTTAAAAAAAGCATTTCTCAGCTTTTGGCTTAAAAAAACACTTATTTATTAAACACTCCTAATTTTTACTTTTTCTCGGCTTGCGTGTGAAAAGTGCTTTTCCCCTTTCTAATACACAAAAAGCACTTATTTTACCAAACACTATCAACTTTTACTTTTCAAAATCACTTTTTTCTCAAACACTATCAATTTTACCTACTAATCACTTTTTCCTTACATCTCCAAAAGTGCTTTTTTTTAAGCAGAAGCAGTTGCAAACATCCCTTAGAGTGTCGATCCTTTTTTGACTCTAAAAAGGTAAGGATATTGTTCGGCTGGGTGAGTCAGCCTCTTGAAAATCCAGCTCATACTGGTACGAAGTGATTCACACAATCCCTGATGAGCGTTTATGATAGCAAATTTTGTGGTGTAGGATGAACACATTTTGGCCTCAATCAGACATGTGAGTGCAGTGGGACAATGGTACACTGTCCGCGCAGAAAAGTGACTACGAAAAAATTGATCTTTCAAAACCAGACATTCCACGGCTGGTGTTTGCCTCTCATTTCAAACCACATGTCTTATGCTGTTTTGATATGGTTTTAGCAATTGATCGGGCTACTTGTGTGAACACCTAAAAGAGAATTAAGAATTTAGTACTGTGTTTTGCTCACTTATTAGACACCCACCCCAAATCTCCCCTCGTCTACTACTTGAACCCAAATCCCATTGAAAGGAATATGAGGGGAATTCTGCAGTTTTACTCACTTTTACGGGTTAGCTTATTTGTTGAAGAGGGAGAGAATGATATTGGCCCTGTTTGGCAATCGACTGTTAGCTGTTAGATGTTAGCTGGTTATGACAGCTGATTGATAATAGCTGGTTGTGTCAGCTGTTTTAGTTGGCTGGTTTTGTTAGCTTGTTGTCAGCAAATGTTTGATAAATTAGCTGTTTAAGAATAACTGTTTGCGTGTAAAAAGACATATAAAGACATTAGTATTTTATTTTATTTGTAGCTATTGCTTCCAAAAATAATATTACCTACATTTACTCAAAGAGTATAAATCATTCAAATTTTAGAAATTGACAAATACGACTACATGAAAAATAAAATAAATTAAAACTGGCATGTTAAATTAATTTGAATAATATAAATCAAGTTTATAAAACTGGCATGTTATTAATTTATTTAGTTTATAATAAAATCAAGTTTAATAAATGCTCCATGTAAGCATTACTGCATTAGGATGCACATCGTACAAACGTAAAAAAAAAAGTAATAAAGCATGACACGTGTGCCTCACTAGTGTGCAACTGTGCACTGATTTGACAAAAAAAAAGGTGTGCTGCTATTACGGATTTACGGAGGGCATAGAAGGGAGATATGGAGCAGCCAACGCAAAACGCTGCACATGCTAGCGTTTTCACTTTTAGCTGTTTGGGTTGAAGAAGCTAAGAGCCCGTTTGGTAGCACAAAAATCGGCTGTTTTGGCTGTTTCTGCTGAAATTTATGAAGTTCTGGCTGAAGTGGCTGTTTTGGCTGATTCTGCTGATTCCAGAAAAAAATAGTTTAAAAATATATTTTACTAATAAAATAAAGAAAAAATTACATGTAAAAATAGCTAAAATGATCATCTACAATAACTTCAGCCAATACAGCCAGAAAAGTAACTCCAACCTTACTTTTTCTGCTTATTACCCAATTCAGCACGCGAAAGTAAAAATTACGTGTTTGATGAAAAAGCTGGCTGATAAGCCTGATAAGCCGAAAAAAGGGGTCTCCAAATGGGCTCTAAATTAACCAGCCATTTACCAAACAAACAATTTAGCTGTTTAGATGGTCAAACACATTAAATGTAATCAAACAAGCCAAAAGTTGGCTGAAAAGCCATTTTCCAAACGCACCCATTAAAGAAGTAACGAATTTGTTAAATCTGAATAAATAAGTACTTATTAAAGTCACTTTGAGCCCGTTTGGTGACTCTGTTTTGCAGCTTATCAGGCTTATCAACCAACTTTTTAACCAAACACGTAACTTTTATTTTTGCGAGCCGAATAGTGTAATAAAAGAAAAGATAAGGATATTTTTCTGACTCCATTGGCTAAAGTTATTGCATATGATTATTTTTTCTATTTTTTCATATATGTTTTTCTTTATTTTATTAATTAATAAAATATATTTTTAGCATGATTTTTTTCATAAATCCGCAGAATCAAACAATACAACCATTTCAATGAAGTCTATAAATTTAAGCAGAATAAACAAAATCAGACGACTTTAGTGTTACCAAACAGCTTCTTAACATTTTTTTAAATAAAATATTAGATTTTCGTATGTCCCTTATTTATGTGTTACTATGTTTTAGAAAACAAGAATCTTTAAAACATACCCTCTTTATGTTCCCTAATCGGATTACATAAAGAGGAAGTATGTACACAAAAATTCTAATATTTTATTCAAAAAATGTTAAGAAGCCGTTTGGTAACACTAAAAAATTTCACCGACGCATTGCACGGGAGTGAAGTACGTACACAAAAAATTTAGATGGATTAAAGTAAAAAACTTGATCTTGAATCAACTAACCGAATACTCCGTAGTAATATAAGTAGTCATATTTTGTAGGAAATAAAAAAATAATGCTTGAAGATGAATATAAATCATTAAATCATCATACGATAAAAAAAATTGAGTATGTACGTGAACCTATGAAGGAAAAATACAAATTACTATAATCTTTTTTTATATAAAACTTCAAAGCAGACTTAATTGGTTATATGCCTTTGTCACATATAACAAACTACAAACTGTCCATGCTTAAAAACATGCCAATGAAGAAAGACGCAAACCTTTTTCGATAACTCTCCACGACTCTTATTATTGGTCATGACATAGCTTACCATTAATGGAAATTGTTTGCGCTAAAATAGCAGATGGGAGTCTAACATAACGTCTCATGGTGTTAATGTAAGTTGAGGATCAGGATAAGAAACTTTTCATTGGAATTATGTTCCCTTGTCCGTCATCTTCCCGCAATAATATGATGTCCAAATTTAGTCATCAAAAGTCATGTCTCTTTGCACAATCCAGATGAATGATCTATAATTTTTAACTCTTGATTTTCCGTAAGAGCACCACCCCAATAAAAGTATATATAAAAATTGTTCCCATTATGGAGCATTAACGTTCAAAAACTTACACTTTTTCATCTACTAATAGAAAAATACATCCCTTTTGGAGGAGTATTCTGGAGGCTCAAGAAGTTGTTAGAAAAGGGTTGTCGAAGACGGGTGGGTAATGAAAAGGATACCTCGGTATGGCGGGACAGTTGGTTACCTGGCAAAGGAAGTGGAATGGTTTCATCCCCAAGACCGCATGGCATTGTTGAAATGAATGTGGCGGCTTTGATCAAGGAAGACAAATCCGGGTGGAATTTACCACGGTTGAGGGAGCTTTTTTTGCCAGAGGAAAGGACTGCCATTCTAAGCATTCCTATTAGTCGCAGAGACACCACTGATAGCTATTGGTGGAACGGTGAGGCTCGAGGAGCATACACTGTAAAGAGTGGCTATAGGATCCTCAAAGGGGAGTGCTTAATGGCCGGTGAGCTGGTCGGGATAGACTACTATGTGGGGTTTCTTCATCTCACCAAAGATTAAGCATTTTTTCTGGCGAGTTATGGTTGGCGTTCTGCCCACGGCAGTAAATCTACGAAAAAGACGAGTGGATATCCCGGTTCAATGTCGTTTCTGCAATGAGGAAGCTGAAACATCACTGCACATTTTTAGAGACTGTAGGTTTGTCCGAGAAGTTTGGGGCAAGCTGGGAAATAAATTCCATTTACCAGTCAGGGTGTATACTTGATTGGATTCAGTAAGTATTTGAGGCTGCAGCAGAGGAAACTTTGTGTACATTCATAGTCACTCTTTGGAGTATTTGGAAGTTAAGAAATGATGTGGTATGGAAAGGAGCTAGTTTTGATGGTTCCCATGTGGTTCTTGGTGGTGCAGCAACATTGCAGGGCTAGAGGGCTGCCCAAGTTTAAAAAAAAACAGCATGTTAACATGGTGGAGTCACATACCAGTTGGAAGAAACCTGCAACAGGAGTCATTAAAGTCAATGTAGACGGGGCACTAAACATTGACAGGGGAAAGCGGGCTTTGGCCTGGATAGCTCGGGACGATATGGGGAACTTTATACGAGGAGGTATGAACACAGTTTCAGCGGATTGGACAACCCATATAACAGAAGCTATCGGCGTTAGGGAGGTACTTTCTTGGGCTAAAGAGCAAGGTTGGAGTCAAGTGGAGGTTGAAATAGATGCTTTGCTTATAATATCTAGATTGTAGGAGGAGATTGGGAGTTCTTACTTTGATTTAATAGTGGAGGATATTAGACTATTGCTTCAATGTGAGGCTAGAATGTGAGTTAATCATTGCAAACGGTTGACGAATCGGGTTGCTCACACTCTTGCTAGAGCGGCCCTTTCCATGACATACGGTAGTTTTTACTTTGATTTAGCTCTTAGTTGTTTTGATTTTCATTCAAAAAAAATAGAAAAATACATCACAAATACTTTTCCAGATAAGCATTTAAATAATCTCAAAGAAGATATTCAGTTTGGTGTTTGTGATACAGTTTCAGGTTAAATGAAGAATAAAAATGTAAAATAAGAAAAGAACAATAACATGTTAAATTCACGCTTAAAGGTTGTTTTTGGCGGTATTTTGATTGATTGACTTGATTTATACTCCAGATTGGATTTTATGTTTCAAACCGTAAAACTTCATGATTCCAAAATTGAATGTAATAAAAATGAAAGGATAAATGAAGGTGAGAATGACTCTTTATATCGAGAAGGAATGTAAAGAATCATCACTATAAATTAACGTGTGTAATGCCCTCTATTTCAACCTATTAAATGAGATTACTCTTTACAAATATTGGTTAGTAAGTTATAGTTTTTTAATGTTTTTTCCATAGCTCCTTTATAAATATTAGATAGTTGTATGTCCCTTAATTTATGCGTTACTATGTTTTAGAAAACAGGAATCTTTAAAACATACCCTTTTTATGTTCTCTAATCGGATTACAACTCTAACAGATTATTTTTTTTGAAAGGAAATACGGAGTAACTTATATTATAAATATCGTAGCAATCAACGTCTCAACGTAACACCCATAGAAAGCCAAGCCTCCCAATGAGACTTCGCGTAGTCAAACGGCCCTCCCACTCTCTGACTAGACATAAAATAGCCAACCCAATTACGAGCGAGACTAATCTCTAATCATGTGAGAGCTTCGAAACTTTTGCCAGCCAACCAGCCTTATCGCTTCCACCCATAAAAGATGTAATAAAAATAAAACCAAAAGACCACCTACCCCTATTGTCTGTATCAATGAAAAAACAACAGTTCTGGAAATAAATTAAAGGGAAAAGTGTCAAATAAGTCCTCCTACTACTCTGAAAATGTCAATTAAGCCTACCAACTCAAATATCACCCAATTAAACCCACCAACTTATAAAAACCGTTCAAATCTGGTTTTTACTAGGTAACAACCGGTCATCAACTAAATGGAGCCACGTGGTGACACGTGTCACTTTTTTTCCTCTCTCTTTCCTTCTTCTTCCTCTCTTTTCCCGGTGACTCTTTCTTGGGCCCTGTTGCTCCCCGCTTCCTATTTTCTTTTACATTCATTCTTAGTCTCCACTTTGGCTTAATGACAAGTTCACAAATCACAACCCAAAGCTACCTCTGTTTCTCACTTTTTCTTATTTTTGGGTTTTCACGTACCCATTCAATCCATTAATACACAAGAAAATAAATGAATCAACAAATTGATGGAGACGATTGGTACTTAATGAGACGGAACATTGGTAAGAGAGGAGGAAAACGCTCGGTAAAGACAATCGGTGCTCTCCTTGCCGGAAATTGGCCGGAGAAGATGACCGGCGCTCGAACAACCTTCTTGGCTTTCCCGAAGGTTGGCCAGGGAAGAAGACCGGCGTTTGGATCTATTGGGCGGCCAGGTGATTGTAAAATAAAGAATGAAAGAAAGAAAGGGACAGAAGAGAAGAATGGAAAAAAGAGAAAAAAGAGAATGGGGGAGTCCGCTGGAGAAGAAAAAGGAATGGGGAAGATAGAAAGAAATAAAGAAAGAGAATAAAGAAACGAAAAACAAAAAAAAAATACAAAAATTGAATGACACATCATATTTCTTTACCGGGAACCGGAACATTACTTGCTGAAAACTCAATTTGATTTTATTTTATGTGTTTGTGGGTCTAATTGGATGATATTTGAGTTGGTGGACTTAATTGACATTTTGGTGTTAGTAGGGGGGCTTATTTGACACTTTTCCCTAAATTAAATAAAATAGTAAAAGTAGCCTGTCTCGAGTTCGCCTGCTCCTCCCTTCTCGTGTTGGATTCGAGCAAGATTCAACGTAACAAAACAGCTCGCATATTGAAATCCTCTCTTGAGAATGCATCATATGTTACAACCTCAACCTCCCATAGTTGTTTCAAGTCTTCTATCAATGGTTGCCCATACACATTTATCCCCTTTTTTGGATTTCTTGGTCCATGTACCAATATAGACAAAAAAAATTGTTGTTTCATACACATACCTAGAGATTGTCAAAATGAATCCACACCTTTGCATCTGATGGATGACGCATCACTCCTTCTTCTCTATGGACTTTGTGCCACCCCATTTTTTCCACGGTAGTATCTATGCATAAAGCCTTTGTAGTCTAGGAGTTAGTGGGAGGTACTCCATTCTTGCAAGTGGAATTGTTTTTTTTTTTTTGCTTACTGGCCTTGTATCTTGCACCACTCCAAAGATTGCACCCCATTATCTCGTTGTCTCTTTTCCAATATATCATGCATCCTTTTAGAAAACAATCAACAGACCGATTTTTCATTCCCAACAGTGATAACTTCCTTTTCATTTTGTTGAAATTTGGTATAGGCCTATCAGGAATTGTAGTTGGGAAAAATCTATTCACAGATTGAGCAATTTTGTTTGTTGTAGCCTCTGATAAATTCATCTCGGTCTTTATGTTCACCATTTTAGTTAATGCGCTCAACTCAGTCATTCGACAACCCTCAAAGCACGGTTGACTCTTCATATCTAGCATTTCAAACATCTTCTTCGCTCTTGCACTAGGCTCATCTTTCACAAGAAAATCGTGTTCATTTTTTGTTGGGAATTCATTCCTCACTGCATCCTCAAACATCAATTTGTATGGATCATATTGGACCTCAGATGCATTACCATGGGAGGAGTTGGCTTGATCAAAATAAACCAGACCATTTGAATTGGATGTCTCTCGTACATAATACCGAGTAGTTTTTAACAAAACCTTTCTCAAATAGGTGTTGCTTAACAATACCCAAGTCAACCATTTTCGATTTTTACTCTTTCTACAGGGACATGTAATGACACTGTTGGATATAAATTTATCGATGTCAGAATGAACTCATTGACACCTTCCTTGAAATCATCATTTAGAAATCCTCGTCTCTCTAGTCTTTTAATCATATTTAATTTATACTCCTTATATCACCATCTAGACATCCATGACCTATTATTACTCATACTGAAATCTAAACAAAAAAATGACATACATTAAATCTTCATTGAATAAACTAATTAAAATAGCAATGTATATATAATATCGATAAAATATTTTGAAATTTTCTCTAAAGAAATTAATATGAATTAGAATTTAAGTGACCATCTACATTTTAGATTTTATTTTTTACTATGTTATCTTCAATTTTTTTTATATAAAATAATACGAAAACATATATCTATTATTGAATTTCATTCAGCACATCTAACTTGAATAAGAAATTTCCTATATTTATTTTCTAACAATCATCTTCAATCTTGTAATTAACACAAATGTAGTTGAATATTAATTTTTAAAAGAGAATAAGGAAACCAAATAAACGAGAAAAATTTTCTATTATATAAACATACATGCACATGATAAGTTAATTTATAAATTAAATATGATTAAATAACTTAAATTTAACAAAGGTAAGAATTCTAACCTGAGATTTCGAGTTTGGAATTCTAACAAAGGTAAGAAAATAGGTCGAGTGAGACGTGAGGATAAGGATTAGAAATAAGGATTATGTGTATAGTTAGGATGGTTTGATAGAGAGTATTTGATTTTTGAATTAGTGACATATATGATATATCAGTTGCATAACGATTCCCATCATTGTTCACTGACGGTTATTACTAGGGAAACAATCCGCCACTAAATACCGGCGGATAGAAGTCATAGAACACTCCCATTAAATTCCGACACTAAATACCGTCGGACTCATTCCTACAATAGAAATCGATCCGCCACTGATTTTAGGGTTGGGTCCAAAAAACCGAAAATCGAAAACCAAATCAAATTATACCGAACCGTAGCTAAATATAACTGAACCGCTAACAACCTGAAACCGAATGTAAAAAACCGAACCGAACCATAGTTGTTTGGTTCGGTTTTGGTTTTTACCCTTCAAAACCGAACCGAACCGAACCGAACAAACCGACCTAATTAAAATATAAAATTTATTTTTCAATTGTTAAGCATTAATCCTAGGGCCGAACCTACATGTGAGGCAAAGAGGCAATCGCCTCAGGCCCACGATTTTGGGAAAAAAATTAGGGCCCAAAAATATATGATTTTCCTTTATACATATACCCATAATTAGTAGGGCCAATTTGAATTTGCAACTTCCCGAATTCCAACTTCAAGCTTTGAAGAGTTCTCCGGTCTAGAAGAGTCGAAGACGTTAATTCATTCCTTTCCAGAATATAATCTCATTATTCTAGGTAAGTAATTAAGTATAAGTGTTTTAATGTTTATTGTTTTATGGTGCTTAAGGGCCTTGTTATACTATTCGACTCAGACAAAAAAATCCTAGGATCGGCCCTGATTAATCGTAACTAATCCTAATATCATTAATAGTCTTTGGTTTTCTTGTGCTAGAGAAATAATATTTGTGATATGTTTAGTTTAGTTTATAAATTCATTGCCTTTAATAATGTAGATATAGTGAATGATGATAATATATTTTTACTAGTTATTAGTATAAATTAACTTTTATTTTTATTTAACTTAAAGAATTCATATTGATGAAAGTATGAAACAATATATATTCATTTCAACTATATCACATAGAACGTATACATTCATGAACTTTTTTGAACTAGTCACAAACAATGTAAATTAATAATCTATAGATAGTATACTTTTATCTTTCTCGCATACTCATATAATTCAAGGCATAATTATTTATTTTCATTTTTATTTTATTTGTTGTAGTGTGTGCTTGCATTCTTTATGTAACATGTTTGATCCCTCAAAGTATTATATCAATTTAAATCAAATGATAATTTTTTAGGAAAAAACCGAAACCGAATCGAAACAAACCGGACCAATCAAACCGTGGTTCCAAGTTTTGGAATGTAAAACCGAACCGAACTTTTTATTTGATTCTATATTTGGTTTTAGGTCAAAACCGAACCGCAAGAACCGAACTCACCCCTAACTGATTTGAGAAATTCTTGTAGTGAACCCTCTTATATAAAAAATAATTTATTACTCTTTTCCTTTCAAAATAAATGTTATAAAAAAATGAAGGTAAAATTGAGTAATGGTGTGGGATAGGAAATTCTTAAATAATATCCTCTTAAGATTATAGGCTTATAATAACACTAAAAGTGAGTAAAAATGAAAGGGGAAAATTGTAGGTTTAAATAAAAAAAGATGGATCACTATTAAATAAAAGAATATAGAGGAAAAGAAATATACGACTTTTTTCAAGTTTCAAGAAAAGGTGATCACCCATATCATTTATTATTCCAATTTTAATATTACATTTTTTAGTTCTTACTGTAATACAACGTACATTAATTGGTTGCAATAATCACCACCGCTGCATCGCCAATGATTATCATATCCCGCCGGACACACCACCACTGAAATAATTAATCTAAATCTTATAGTGATTACTCGTATATAACAACTTAATTCGTTACAGACTGCAACGATAATTACTATCAAATCCCGCCGGACACGTACACCACCAATCACCGCGCCTTGATAGGTTTGATGAAGTGACTAATAATTAGCCAATCTAGTATATCTTAGATTTCAGTCACCACTACTAGATATTCTTATACTAGTATGTGTACCCGTGCGTCGCACGGGAAAAAAAGTGTGAACTTATTTGCAGACTATGAAAAAGTATAAAAAAAGATATAGTAGAGGAATGAAATTGTATGCGAAGTCATTATTGACAATCTAATTTTATTTAGTTAATTATATATATATATACATAAGGTGTGGATCAAATAAAAACCACTATTCCGGTGAAAACTGCAAATCGTTCATTTTTGTCCCATTTGATGCGTTTTAAAGGTGGTTTGTCGCAATTTGTTTACATTTGTAGATAACTTGGACTTATTTATCAAAATGGCACAACATTATATTTATGTGGTTTCATTCGACCAGAGTTAAAAAGGTGAAATGGACCACCCATAAAGTGCATTTCATTGGGCAAAATGTGATCGAAAAGTTTGCAGTTTTCACGTTAAGAGTGATTTTTATTTTATTTAATCCCATTATTAGAAAAAATCTTTTGTAATTATTTTCAATATTTGAAGTACCGCTAGTTGGAATTGTTGTTTGCTTCAATTTTATCATCATTATCATCACCATCATCATCATTTTTCCATCATTTGCAATGGAACCAAAAATTCATTATTTTTTGACTTGTAAATATGATGGAATAAAGAAAAATGGCTCACTAAACTGTATGATCTTCTTTGTTATGAAGTAGCAGTCAGTCCATGCAATTTTGGACGCGCTTTTCACTATGGGTCATCCGGAAACAGTCTCTCTGTACTTTAGTACAGGGGTAAGACTGCGTACATCCGACCCCTCTTACCCCACCGTAGGTGAGAGCCTTTGCGGCACTGGGGTAAATGAAAATGAAAAATGATCATCATCATCATTACCCAAGTGCCGCAAAGACTCTCCCACCTACTGTGCGGTAAGGGAGGATCCAATGTATGTAATTTGACCTCTATACTAAAGTACAGAGAGACGGTTTTCGAATGACTTGTAGTTAAAATCGCATCGAAAACTGCATTGACTTAGTGCTCTTTCACATGAAAGAAGTGCAGACAGTTTAATGAGTCATTTTTACTTTATTTCATTATATTCTCAAGTTAAAAAATAGTGAGTATTTGACTCTATTAAAAAATAAAATTAAATGTGAGCGATTAAATACTAATATATACTGAAAAATATAGTTTTAAACAAAGTTGTCATATAACTCCACATGCTGAAGAGTATGTAGTATTGTTTAAAACATGGTACTGTGCTCATACAATGATACAATTGACCAACTTTCTTTTTCCTCCGGGTCTGATCTCCTCATGTGCCGATATCTCTTCGATTAACCTGCGAAAACATGACGGTGAGAATTGAAATTTTAATTTCACATCTGGTTTGAGATCCACAATAAGGGGTAAACTGGGTGTATAAGGTTTTAAGACTAAAATCTTATTCAATATGATATTCCGTATATCAATAATCTCTAGGGTATTATTGAGTTCCATCTACAAAATTGGAGGCGAGCTTGCCATATGTTTGGGAGAGTCACGGTGAAGTGTAGAGATA